CCACTCCTCTGTCTTTCTTCTTTCTCTCTGTTCCTGCTCCTCTTTACTGAGATTGGCAGCATCAGGACACAAAGCTTTCACTGTCCCAGCAATTCAAACAGTAAGGGAACTTCAGACACAGGTGAGCCATGCTGTGGAATGGGTTTCGCTGCAAGAGACTGAAAAAGCTGGTACCTACTTAACCACACACATCTGAAACCAGGGCAAAGATAAGCAGTGCAACATGCTGGGAGTCAGACATCCTCCTATCTCCAACCTTTCCATCTGAGAGATTCTTAAGATATTCCAATAAAGAGGTGGGGAAGAGATGCCGCGTTACATTACTGCTCCTTTGGAAAAGGGCTGCAACACCCACAGCAACAGAAAAGCTGCTTCCATCACTACATCTCAATGTTGCAGCTGGCTTTCAAGGACATTTTGGAGAAAAGAAGCCTTGGAGAATTCCACCAACCCAATGTTTTGCTCCCACCCTATCTCTTCCCTTGCCTTGTCAACCTGATTGCCTTCTCTCTCTCCTTGTTTCATGTGCCTTCTAACCATACACCGAGGAATGCCAATTACCTAACTGCTGGTCAGGCGGGACTCCCACAATAAAAGGAATAGGTCCCACACAATTTCCAGGAGTAGGACAGTCTGTATGCAAGTTAACAGAAGGATTACTCTTATTTAAAAGGAGCAAAAGAAAAAAAACCAAAGCATTTCATACTACATCACATAACAAACTGAAGTTTATTTACACAATTTATTTATCAGAGTTTGACCTATTTGGAATATGTTTTGGATTCTTTAGCCAGACATGGTAATAAAACTAGTTTTCTGTGCTAGTTCACTCCCAATATTTAAAGATCCATCTGCTAACAAGACCCACCAATTTAGAGGAAAATAATGTTCTATATCCTGCTATTCCAGTCTTTAGCCTAAGGAGCTTTCCCTCCGTCTCAAGTAGTTATTCCACAGGAAGAGTCACTTAAATTGAGGAAGGTTCCTTAGGCTGGAGAAGAGCTATTCAACCTTTGGAGGCAGGATACAGGCCATGGTTTATAATAAACAATGGTCAAGACACAACCACAAAGAATCCATGAAAGCATCCATATGGCTCTTATGGAAAGTTGCCTACTAGCAAGCACCCTTTACAGTTTAGATAAAAATCAAAATCTAGGTATGTTAATTAATGAAATATTAAAATATGCTGATAAAACAAATTCTTGTGCATCTACAAAACAGTTGCCCAAGGAAATCTTCTTTGAATCCTGAAAGTTTTCAAGATATTTATGATCTGTCATATTTAACATGCAACCTTAGTTTTCTCCAAACCAACAGTCATCAAATGTTCAAAAGAAACATCAGAACACACAAAAAGGCAGTGACTATGACTATCTTAAGTCATCATAAAATAAACAGGTGCAAAAAATCTTATCATAACTTTATCTCACATGCTCACAAATTAAAAAACTCTGACCTGTGAATCATGATATTGCATCAGACCCACAGCATAAATGTTACATGATTAGAACAGTGGAAAGAGAAAGTAATGAAAAATTAAACTGTGACCACTTACTTTAACGTTGATATCTCTCTTGGGTAAGAACAAAACAGTCCCATAGTACCTTAAATAGTGGTGGTGGAGGTGGAAAGTGCTGTCAAGGTACAGCCAACCTATGGAGACCCCCTTGGACTTCCAAAGGAAGAGGCATTTAGAGGTGGTTTGCCACTGCCTACCTCTGCGTAACACCCTTAGAATTCCTTAGTGGTCTCCCATGCAAATACTAATCAAGGCAAACCCTTCCTAGCTTCTGAGATCAGGCTTGCCTGGCCATCCAAGTCAGAACTGGCATCTTAAAATACTAGCCATTAAATACCATTTGACGAACTGTGTCAGATGTATGAAGTGTTGTCTATATTTATCAATACCATCATGCTCTAACACACAGGAAAAAACCACAAATTGTGGGGGCCAAAAACAAGAACCCAAGATAGTACCTCTTGCACCTCATGGGCTTTTGGCCTCATGGTTTACAACTTGTTTTCTATTCCGATACAGTCAGTGCGGTAATGTGCCTAGTGTTGGGGCTAGGATCTGTGAGACTCAGGGTGCGTTCAAATGGGGCATTTACAACGGTATAGGTGCCGGTTGGAATCGGTGTACTTACCAGCGTTCACACGTAGAACACCTGCCTTCCGTCCCTAACCATTGCAAAGAGCTTTAAACCAGTGTATTCTGCTACTAGGTCCCCAAGTGGTGGTATCCTGAGTGCACCGGTTGTAACTGCTTTACCCCTGTCTGATCGCTCTCCACCATTGTAGAGCCTCTTCCGTTCGAGAGCCCGAAGCTTCCGCTTTTCACCCGCCATTTTTTTTGTTAGGTTGGCAATATGTGCTTGGGCGAAGCTTTGCCCCGGCCTTTGTTTAAAAAAAATAAAAAGTTCCTTAGTTTAAGGTTTTAGAGGAATCTGGGACCTCAGGGAGGCCAGTTTGGTCTTTAAACTTTTAAGGTAAGTCCTCTCTTCAGGGCATGCTTTTTGGGACAGGGTGTTTTGCGCATGCACGAAGATTGCCATTCTGTGGATGGCTTCCTATGTGCATGTGCAAACTGAGTAAAAAAAACCCCAAAACACCAACACCCGCTGTGTGTGAATGGGCATTACCTCCGCAGACAGGAGGTAAATGTGATCAAGTTTATGCCGGCTGAAACGCCCCGTCTGAACGCACCCTCAGTTTCACAGATCAAATCCTTCTTGAGGGGTGACCTTAGACCAGCTACTTACAGCCTAACCTAACCTCAAAGTTTGTTGAGAGAAGAAAATGAAGGAGGGAAAATAGTGAATTCTGCCCTGAAGTATCTGCTGTAAAGACAGGATAAAAGTGTACTCAACAACTGTACTCAATCTCAGTGTGGTAGCAGAAAGTGCCCTTGAGTCACAGTCGATTTATGGAGAGAAGACCCTGGATGATTTTCAAGGCAGGAGACATTACATGAAACTGACAATGAAACTGAATAGGTCAACAAATGACCTCAACAACACCCCTCCACCTTCTGACCGAAATGTATGTTCTCAGAAATCTCCATTCCAACTTGTATCTGAAGAAGGGAGCTCTGGCCCTGGAAAGCTTTTACATCCCCAACATCTTGTCGGTCTCTAAGGTGCTGCTGGACTTGAATAATCCCATCTTATATGTAAAGGATACCCAGGAAGCAAATTCCGTTTTTTAAAAAAAGGAATGGCTGTTTGGTTTCCTAAAAAATTAACAGATAACACTCCCAGGCACCACATTAACAAGCTTATGCCACAAAATCCTCTCAACATTGAGGGGCCATGATAAGACACTCCTTCCCCCCCCCCCCCCCCCCTTCCTTCCCCAGAGACTCTTACAGAGCAATTTCACTCATGTTTACTTCGAAGCACGCCCCTCCCATTTTCCTCAACGGGGCTTACTCTCGCGTAAGCGTGCAGAGGGGTGCAACTGTACCCGAAGCCACGGGTCGGGGGAAGAGGGGGACCTACCCTAGGAATGCCTACTCAGAAGTGACTCCCGTGACTTTAAGGGAACTGCTTGCCCGTAAGCGCACCGAGGACTGCCGCTTGAGAAGACCCGGAGGGAGGAAGAAGTTCCCCAGGACACCGTCTCCGTTACCACCCCTGGAAGGCAGACAACAAGGCAAAAGCCAACTGCCCCCACCCACTGGGCCGGTGCCCCTCGCCTCACCGGCCGCCGCAGTTCTCCCGCCTCTTTCTCCGCTTCTCCCTCCTCATCGCACTTCCCAGCAGCCGGCAGCGAGACGCCAAGAAGCGGAGCCAGCCGCAGCCACTTCACCGCAGGCGGCCAAGCCCAGCAAGGGAAGGCTTCCGCGGAGGAAAGGAAGGAAGGAAGCAAGGAGGGGGGGAAGAGAGAAGCAGCAGCAGCGCCTACCTGTTGTGTGAAACCAGCCTCGCCACTGCAGCACTCGTCCCAAGTTGCCCGCGCCGCCGCCACTGGCTTGTCAGGCTAGCCTCACGCGGCCCCGTCCCGTCTGTTGAAACTACGAGTCCCAAAAGACACCGCAGGGAAAGCTGAGCGTGACTCGGCGTACCCTGGCAAGGGCGGCTGGAACCCTGCCGCCCTCCTCCCCTCGCACGTGGTGCGTTGCACTCTGGGAGTTGTAGGCTTTGTTGCTGTACATAAAATAATTGAAAAAATGTTGGAGGTAGTGATTTTGAAATCTGCATGCCTTTTTGCAGGGGTCTTGCGGTTCGGGTTTTTTGTCCGATGTTCCGAGACAGAATGTGGACCATTTTGCCGACCACATTCCACACAGTCATGAAACTCACTGAAATGTTTCACTTTTATTTTTAAAAGGTGTAATGTATCTATCTCCGTTTGCATGCACGGCTAGGTTGCCAGGCCAGCTTCGCTCTCAGGAACAATGGGCCAAGCGGATCTTAGCCCACCAATAGGAGGGCTAGGCTCCCAGCCAATAGCCCATGGAACTCTTGGCCACTATAATGACCAATCACTTGTGTGTGGGTGTGATTTGGGTGTGGGATTGTTGCACATAAAAACCGGCCTGCGAGCTGGTTGTAGTTGTCTTGTTCGAACTAAATAAAAGTATGAGAGCTGAAATCGCTAGTAAGTCTCAGTACTTTTCACTGAGGACGAAGGTGGGATTCTAACTCCCATGAACAAGGACCTGGATGAAGATTCGAGCCCCAGCACTGAGACTGACGCACGCAGCTCCTGCCTAGGTCTGCTGGTAGCTGCTCATCCTACCGCTCCTCGCTCCGTACCTTGCCCTGCTGACCCCGAGAGCAGCAGCGCTTTCCTACTTGTTCCGGCCGCCGCCACCTCCGTTCCTGAGCTACCACCACCACGTGGAAGCAGCATGATGGCTACCTCCCAGGAAAGTATCGCAGCCTTCAATATCTCCCGCCCCGCACAGTGGGAGACCTGGCTCAAGATTCTGGAGAGTTACTTCAACTGCCATGACATCGTAGATCCAGTTAAGAAGGCCCACCTCCTCCGGTCCTGTGGCATAGATACCGTCTTGCTGCTAAAGGACCTAATTGCGCCTAAGCAGACTAAGGACGAATCATACGTGGTGCTGGTGAAAGCGCTGACCGACCACCTTTCACCAAAGCCCACAAAGTTTGCTGAGTGCATGGACTTCTTTGCACGGGTCCAGGGTCCAGATGAGCTGGCTTACGGGTTCTTGGCTGGGCTCCGGCGGGTGGCCACCAGGTGCTCGTTTCCCGACCTGGCGGACGCCTTGCTAAGCCAGTTCCTCTTGGGTCTCCGGGAACCCAAGCTTCGGAGGAAACTGGTTCACCAGGACAACCTGGACCTAGACGAGGCGCTCCGGGAGGCCGCGGCCTATGAAAAGGCACATCAAGACCACCGCATGCGGGCGGTCCATCGCACTCAAGCAGCCCTCGAGTCAGACGACTTAGAAGAGGAAGTGCTCCAGGTACGCCGCTGTTCATCCCAACAGCAGCATCGCTCGGGGGGATCATCCTCGGCCAAAGCCTCCTCTTCATCGTCTTCCTGCGCCAGCTGTGGAGAGGCACATGAACGCAGGACGTGCCGGTTCAGGGACACAGTCTGCCGCTCCTGCAACAAGCCGGGCCATCTCGCCAGGGTCTGCCGTTCCCGGAAACAGCCCCAGAAAACTTCTGCCCACCAGACAACATCAGAACCACACACCAACCTTCATACCCTCTCTGCCCATCACCAGCAGCACCAGGTATGTAACTTGCCCCCCGATAGCCCAAATAAGGTACACATTACAGTATGGAAGTTGACTCTGGCTCTTTCTATTCGATAATTTCCGAGGAAACGCTGCGCTCGCTCTGCCCGCAGGGGGGACCCTCTCTGCGTAAGTCACAGGGGTTTAATTTACGGGATTTTAACAAGAACCCTGTGGCGGTTCGGGGCTCGGGCAAGTTTACGGTGCAGTTTCAGGACTTCCGTGGAAAATTGGACTTGCTGGGGGGGGAGGCTCTCCAGTCTGCTGGTTCGGGCCCCTGGGATTGATGATCACGGGGGTGAATCAGCTACGAGCTGAGGACTTTGCGGCTGTGTGCAATGAGTTCCCCAGGGGTTTTGACGGCACACTCAGCAGATACACCGGGGGCCCCATATCCTTAGACCTCGACCTGGCCGTCCGCCCCATCAGGGTCAAGGCCAGACACCCCCCTATTGCGATGAGGCCAAAGATCGAGGCAGAGCTTGATCGCTTGGTTGCCCAGGGGGTGTTAGAGCCTGTCGCTTCCGCACGGTGGGAGACTCCGATAGTCACCCCGGTCAAGCTTAACAGCAACGTGCGAATTTGTGCAGACTATAAGTGCACATTGAACAAAGCCCTCCAAGACCACGCTTATCCTGTACCGGTGGTCAGCCACGTGTTAGCTGCACTGCTGGGGGCGCGGATCTTCAGCAAACTGGACGCTGCCACGGCAGAAGCCCAAACGATAGTGACACACAAGGGGGCTTTCAGAGTACATAGACTCCAGTTTGGGGTATTGGTCGCACGGGGCATCTTTCAATCTTTCATGGACAATTTGTTAAAAGGTATTCCAGTAGTGCAGCCGTTTCTAGACGACATGCACATCGCGGCCCCGGATGCCCCCAGCTTCACTGACTGGCTGCAGGCTGTGCTCCAGCATTTCGACACGGCCGGTCTGAAGGTCAAGCGTGAAAAATGCCTGCTCGGGGTTCCCAAGGTGGAGTTCTTGGGGTTCGCTGTAGACGCCCAGGGTATCTACCCCACTGAAGATAAAACCACGGCCATCACGCTGGCTCCCCCACCTACGTCCAAGACAGAATTACAGGCTTTCCTGGGCCTGTTAATTTTTTACCACTCTTTTCTCCCTCTAAAGGCCGCTGTGGTGGAACCTCTGCACCGCCTACTGGATAAGAACGCTCTGTGGGACTGGGGCCCGGAGCACGCCGCTGCTTTCCAGGTGGTAAAGGTCCTTCTTGTCTTCAATTCCGTCGTCTCCCATTTCAATGAGGCACTTCCTGTGGTCCTTGCCTGCAATGCCTCTCCTTACGGGGTCGGGGCGGTCCTGGTCCACCAGTTACTGGATGGCCGGGAGGTCCCGGTAGCCTATTATTCTCGCACCTTGTCATCTGCAGAGTGTAACTATGCGCAGATTGACAAGGAGGCGCTGGCTATTGTGGCGGGAGTGAAAAAAGTTCACCATTACTTGTACGGTTGGCTGTTCATGATCCTGATGGACCATAAACCGCTCCTCGGCCTACTGGCCCCCGACCACCAAACCCCGCAGATGATGTCTCCCCGGGTGCTCCGGTGGTCTGTTTTTTTGGCAGGATACGCATATGCGCTTGTCCATCGGGCTGGGAAAGTGATGGGGCATGTTGACGCTTTGAGCCGTCTCCCGCTGCTGTCTATGGATCCGGACCCGGTGCCAGTTCATCAGGTCGCACTTCTGGAGGCCCTTCCCGATCAACCGGTGCACGTTCGAGAAGTGGTGTGCCGCACAGCTAAAGACCCGATCCTTTGCCGTGTCTTGGACTGGGTGAGAAGGGGGTGGCCTAAGGCCCCGGGTGGGTGGACTTCACTGCGTTTGCATCCCGCAAGGACGAGCTGTTGGCCCACAAAGGCTGCTTGATGTGGGGCGGCAGGGTGGTGATCCCATCCCCTTTAAGGGAACGAGTCCTCACGGCACTCCACGAGACACATCCAGGGGTGGTCCGGATAAAAGCCTTGGCCAGAAGTTATGTCTGGTGGCCAGGGCTGGATCAGGACATCGAGGATCGGGTAAAGAGATGCCTGCCCTGCCAAGAATCCCGGCCCAAGCCTCCCCGGGCTCTGGCTAGAGCCTGGGAGTCCTCACACAAGCCCTGGTCTCGGCTCCACTTGGACTTCGCGGGGCCATTCCAGGGTCAACTATTTTTTATACTCGTGGACACGTACAGCAAATGGCTCAAGGTCGTTCCGGTACCGTCCACTTCCTCAAGAGTTGCCATCCGGGCCATGTGGCACATCTTCAGTGCCCAGGATACTCCCGACACCCTGGTCACAGACAACGGCACGGCCTTCACCTCTAGCGAATTCCAGGACTTCACATGCTACTATGGGATTTGCCACGTCAAATCGGCCCCATTCCACCCAGCAACCAACGGCCAAGCCGAACGCATGGTTCGGACGGCCAAGGATGCGCTTCGCTGCTTGGAGAGTAAAGACTGGGACTACAAGTTGGCAGCCTTCCTCTTTGGCCAGAGAACAACACCCCACACTGCAACGGACACAGCCCAGAGGAGCTCCTCTTGAGATGGCGCCTGACGACCCGGCTGGATCACCTTCATCCCGATCGAGCCCCAGAAAAAGAAGCGGCCACGGAGTCACCTGAGGCGGCCCGAGGGTTTCCCCCCGAGAACCCGGTCTATGCCCGGAATTATGCACGAGGGCCTCCATGGATCCTGGCCAGAGTAGTGAGAGTCTGGGGACCCCAATCGTACGAGGTCTCCAGCGAGGACGGACAGATACTACACCACCACATTGACCAGGTGCGGCGGCGGGTTCTGCCGTATGAGCCAGAGGACCTTGAGGACCCAGACACCCCGGAAGCGGCCACCCCATCTCCGCTGCCAGCCACCCTGGCCCGGGCCAATGAGGTGCCCGGCTTATATCTCATCGATCTTCCTGCAGACAGCACAGCCGTGCCCCGAGAAGCAGTGCTACCCGTCCCACGGCAGCCAACACTGACCAGCTCTCAGCCAAGTGCAACGGTGTCACCTTCTGCCCCGGTTCCAGCACCTCGCCGCTCTACGAGACCACGTAAAGCACCCTCCTATTTGCAGGACTTTGTGTGTGGGTGTCTTTTGGACCAAGGGGGGGAGGGGTGTAATGTATCCATCACTGACTGTGTGCATGGCTAGGTCACCACGCAGTCATGTGAAGTGGCCGAGCTTCACTCTCAGGAACAATGGGCCAAGTGGACCCTAGCCCGCACCAATAGGAGGGCTTGGCTCCCGGCAGAGAGCCCATGGAACTTTCGACCACTATAATGACCAATCACTT